GGATGTTTTCCACACAACCCTTTAAAGATAGGGACGTTTTGCGCCAATAACCCGGAAAAAAATGTTATAGGTCACCACCACCACCACCACCCCACCCCACCCCACCCCACCCCACTTCACTTATTTCCCATCCTAACCATGGCACCACAAATCCCCACCTTGCCACCACTAAATGTGGTTTCACAATCGAACTTTGGCGAGTTTTGCAGGTTAGTGGGGTGGGGAAGTGGGTGGTGCCAAGATGGAGATAGGGGATGAGTGAGTGAGGAAGAAAAAGAATTAAGTTATGTGTACACAACGGTTTACACTACTCTCACATGGAGAGGAGCCCACACATATTTTATTATATGCGGGGCCTCCTTCATGTGAGGTGGGTGTAAACTATTGTGTACACATAGCACAACCCGAAAGAAGAATTTTCTTTTTTAAGTTTTTTTGTGTTTTTAATTTTTTTTCTTATTTTTTTATTTATCTCTTTTATTTATTTATTGTGTGCGGGCCCCCCTTCATGTGAGGGGGGTGTAAACCATTGTGTACACATAGCACAACCCGGAAGAAGAATTTTCTTTTTTAAGTTTGTGTTTTTAATTTTTTTTCTTATTTTTTTATTTATCTCTTCTATTTATTTTAAATAAAATAATATGGAAAAATGCCCTTTTGTCCTTTACATTGATCAAATGAAGGTTAATCCTTTTTTGGCCAATTAACTGACTTCAGGATGGAAATCGCTGAATGGACCTAGAGCTGCATACTACTTTAAAGTTTGGAACTTCATACACAAAAAAGAAAAAAAAAATTTGAAAAGCTTGGGACGCGGGTCTACAACTGTCTCAAACTTTTGAATTTTTTGCGAACTTTACCTTAACTTTCAGTTTGTACCAATAGTGGTTCCAAACATTTGAAAAATTGGTACTTAGGGTCCAAATGAATGAATTTCATCCATTTGACTATTAGGTAACTAAGAAAATATATTTTGACTAAATTTAAAGATGACAAAATGATAAATTCCTCATTATTCAACATAAAATAATTAAAAAAAAAAGTAAAAGGACGATGAACAATTTCATCTTCCCGCCCCAACACGCAAAGAAGTCAACGACGATGCACCCATCTCCGTCGCGGACGCCACTGTGCCCATCATTGTCACCACCTCCTCCCGACCCATCTTCACTCCTAGATCAATTATAATCCAAAACAAACAACAAATCAAGACTCATAAATAAAAACTCATCAAGAAAATGAATAATTAAAGTGGTAGATTTGGTAAGAACGAAGATTGAAAGGCAAGTAAAGTTGAGATTTGAAAGGAAACGAAAACGTATAGAAAAATTAGTTTTTTTTTTTTTTTTGTAGGTTTGGTTGTGTATTAAGAAATGGGAAGAGTGCACTATGGTGTGTGTGGTATGCATGCTTGCTTGACGCGAAAATCTTCATTTGAATCAAACCCATATACAAAGATGTAATGGATGGAATCTGTTCATTTTCCCGTTAATTTTTTTTGTGGGTTTGGGGTGGGGTGGAGATTGGGGAAGATGGAATATGTTCATCTTCCTTTTACTTTTTTTTTTAAAATTATTTTATGTGAAATAATAAGGAATTTACCTTTTTGTCCGCCTTAAATTTGGTCAAAATACATTTTCTTAGTCAACTAAGGTCATATGGATGAATCCATCCATTTGGACCATAGGTGCTAATTTTTCAAAGGTTTGTGATCGTCGTTGGTACAAGTTGAAGATTAAGGTAAAGTTTACAAAATGTTCAAAGGTTTGGGACCGCTACTGCAATTTTTCCTTAATTTAAATTTGAATCACATTAAAATTTTCATTTTCATTCTTCTACTCATTTTTAACCACACATTTTTCAAAAAAATAATATTTTCCACCACATCAATAACTTTTCTTTCTTTTTCTATCACATATTATCTATCAATCTACTATTCTAAAACACATTTTTCTAAAATAATGTGATTCAAACGTACCCTCAAAACTTCGAACACAAAACTAAAAGTTTTGGGACCCCCATTGTCTTTGTATGAAAGGTTTGGGACCCTGGTGCAATATACCCTAATAAAAAACGAACTTACAAATATAATTGGGGAATTATTTTAAATCACTACTGTAGCGACAACGAACTCTGCCTTCTATTCCATGGGTGGCACGAGTGCACATTCTATACTTCACGGCCTCCTCGACAGCGCCAACACCAGCCACCGCAGCCCGCCACCGCCCACCAGTCTCAAGGCCTTAACTACCGTAATACTTAATCATGTCCGCTTCGGTGGCCTCGCAAAAGCCGTCTCCATTCTTTACTCCTCCACCCTGACCTTGCCTTTTTCTCTCTACGCCCACCTTTTTCAAATTTGTGTTTCACAAAAAGCCATTGTCGAGATACGGAAACTCGAATCTCACCTAATCATGTGGAATCCGAATCCACCTATCTTTTTGCTTAATAGGGCAATAGAGGGTTATGGTAAGTGTGGCTGTCTGGATGATGCCAAGGAACTGTTTGACCAAATGCCTAAAAGAGATGGTGGGTCATGGAATTCAATGATTACTGCGTATTCACAGAATGGGAAGGCGGAGGAAGCTCTAGGTTTGTTTTCAAGGATGAGGAGGGAAGGAGTTTTTGCGAGTGAGGTTACTTTTGCGAGCGTCCTTGCGTCATGTGGCACCTTGTTGGAGCTGTGGCTATCGGGGCAAGTGCATGGGCTTGTTGTGAAATATGGGTTTTGTGGGAATGTTATTTTGGAGAGCTCGCTTGTGGATGTATATGGGAAATGTGGCAAGATAAGTGAAGCGAGGAGGATGTTCGATGAGATTGATAATCCGAACGATGTCTCGTGGAATGTGATTGTTAGGAGGTATTTTGAGATGGATGAGGGAAATGAGGCAGTGAAGATGTTTTTGAAAATGATTAGGATGAATGTGAGGCCGTTGAGTTTTACTGTGTCCAATGTCCTTCGTGCTTGTTCGAGTTTTCAAGGACTTAAGGAAGGGAATCAAATTCATGGATTTAGTATCAAGATTAATGTGGAAGAGGATGAGGAGGTAACAAATACTCTCATTAGCATGTACGCAAAGAGCGGAGATTTGGCAGGTGCCAGGACAGTCTTCGACCTATCTTGTTTCCGAAATTTAATTAGTTGGACGGCAATGGTGTCTGGGTATGCGAGGAGTGGGCAAACGAGGGAGGCCAGGGAGCTTTTCAATCAGATGCCAGAGAGAAATGTGATATCATGGAATGCGATGCTGGCGGGTTATGTGGGCTCCTTTGAGTGGGACAAAGCATTAGACTTTGTTATTTTGATGCGTAAACGGACTAAGGACATCGATCATGTCACTCTCGGGTTAATTTTGAACATATGTGCTGCAATTCCAGATGTTGAATTGGGGAAACAGGTTCATGGATATATCTATAGGCATGGTTTCTATTTCAATCTCTTTGTGGCAAATGCACTTCTCGACATGTATGGAAAGTGCGGTAATTTGAGAAGTGCTAGAGTTTGGTTCTGTGAGATGAGCCATTTGCGAAATAATGTTTCATGGAATGCTTTATTGACAAGCTATGCTCGTCATGGAATGAGTGAACAAGCCATGATGATTTTTTGGAAAATGTTAGAAGAGACAACGCCAAGCATATATACCTTTGGAACAATTTTGGCTGCTTGTGCAAATATATTTGCACTTGAGATAGGTAAACAGGTTCACGCATTTATGATTAGAAATGGTTACGATATGGATGCTGTGGTAAGAGGAGCTTTAGTTGATATGTACTCCAAATGTCGTTGTACTGAGTATGCTCTCAAAGTTTTTGACGAGGCTACTTCAAAGGACGTGATACTTTGGAATTCCATGATTTTGGGTTGTTCACATAATGGAAGGGGTGACAAAGTACTCGAATTGTTTGCATCTATGGAGGTGCAAGGTGCTAAGCCAGACCATGTCACCTTTCAAGGAATCTTGCTTGCTTGTATTTCCGAAGGCCGGATTGAGTTGGGTCAGCAGTTTTTCAAATCGATGACTGATAAACACTGTCTGATACCTCGTTTGGAGCATTATGAATCCATGATTGAGCTATACGGTCAGTATGGATGTATAGATGAGCTTGATCATTTTATAAATGAGATGCCATTTGAGCCCACTGCCCCTATGTTGATCAAAGTTTTTGATTACAGTCGAAAATATAGGCGCTTGAAGCTGGGAGAATGGGCTGCTGATCAACTTAATAAATTAAATCCTCCTGTTCCATTCCAATTCGAAATCATTGACAACAAATGATTGATAAACAAATACTCAAAGATGTAGATCAATATTTTGCATCTCTCATACACATGCCATAATACCCAACATATGTCAGAATTGTTAACAGATTAGGAGTCTGAGTGATTCTAAACTCTTGAGAACTCCCGGAAGAGAAAAGTGAAGTGGCATAAGTGAAAAACCGTTTGGGTTTGAATTTTCACAGCACATGAATGGCTTCATTTAGTTGCATTTCATGTTTTGTCTATGAAGTACAACCTTCCTGAACAGCAAAAATTTCACGTGGATTGGGGAAGGTGTTGCACAAGGTAGAAGTGACTTGATACTGATATGAACACTGCGAGGTTTTTCAGCAACATAAACTGTGTAAGCAGCTCAACTCCGGTGCATATTTTTTATGATTAATTTGGTGTCTGCATTCAAATATTTTCATGTGACTTGCATTCATCTCTGATCAAGAGATATATCTTGGGGTAGAGTTCTGATTGCCAGTCCCACAGATAAATTTCAACCCACTTCTCAGTCTCAGAAATATTGAACTGCCCTATTGCAAACTTTGGACTACAGCTTTCATGGTGTAGAAACAAAGATTTCCCTATTTTCGCACTCTGAATCAAACAACAGAATCCAAGGTATTCTTTCACTTCAATTATCACTTTTTGCCAATGTGTTTATTATTTGACTGCATAAAAAGTGTTCAAAATTTTGTAAATAAGCTGCAGGGGATTTTACCTATGGGAAATGCCAAATGTACAGACAAATTGTACATTAATTTACATAGTCTCCACAATGTGGGCCCCACCCCATGTGTGTAGACTCTGTAAATGACTGTACAATTTGACGGAAAAATGTAGCAGGGTCCTTTTACCTATAACAGTAAAGTCAATTCTACTGGGAACTTTCTTGATGGAAACTGGTAGATAATTATAGCAGAAAATATTGTCAATTGCACGAGAATATTTTTTTTCCTGGGATTCTAATTGTACTTTTATACTTATAGAGCCAAAAATACCAATGGAAGCAGATTTACAGAATCACGAAGAACATTCAATAAACCAAGAACACCAAGGAATCGATTATTATTTGGGCTCAGAATACAAAACACATTGTACCCTTCTGTACAAGGAAACAACCACAAAGACACCATCAAACCCTAGAGAAATCGCACAACATGGCTACTCAATGGTTCAAGATTACACAGCTAATCTAACTCAGCTCAATTCTCAATTGAAGGACCACAAAGACCACAATCACGAAGATTGATGATTAAAACCAGAAGTTTTAATCCCTACACTAAGTATTGAAAGAGAGAATCAAGAGAAGAAACCCACGAAGGAAAAGAACCCAGAAGCTTTTCACACACAAAGCAGTAACAGAATGAAAAATTAGGGCTCAAGTGACCATTCAGCTGGTATATATACACTTCACAGTCACCATAGATCAGCCATGGGTCCAGAGCAGCACACATGGCGATAGATTGGGCCGGGTTTTGGGCCAGTTTCCTTGAGTTATTGGGCAATGCTTATTTGGTTGAAATAATATTTTCAGCAATTGGGCCAAGCCCATTTCATCATCGTCCAAATGGTTTAGATGCAATTGACAAGAATGACATCACAATCCAACAATACTTGATTAGGATGTAAGGACTGTTGTTTCGAGAAATTCAAAGCTGAGGTTCTTTCCTGTCTGAAATTATCTGCTGTTTTGAGATGCAAGTATTCGAAATCAAAGGCTATGTCTAGAATTCTGCAAGCTGCGGGGCGAGTCTTGATTAATAATAAGAGGAAGCAAGTCTTGATCAACAATATAGTTCAAGATTTTCAAAGACAATTCTACTACTCAAAATTAACTCCGGCCAAGTCTTGATCAACAATCTAGTTCTCGATCAAATAAAGATTTATGTGAATAACCTCGCTTAGGCAAAAACTATGCCCCTGTTTGACCCACATTATTTTTTTCATTCTCATTCTTCTACTCATTTTCAACTACGCATTTTTCAATAACATAATATTTTCCATCACATTAATAATTTTTCCTTCTTTTTCAACCACATATTCCCCATTACATCACTTCAAAAAAATGCATTCTCTCATTTTAATATGCACTAAACACACTCTAGGTTGTGAGCAGTACTCGAAGCAAAATCTCTGAGCTCGTGTTTTAGGTGAATTCCACCTCTTTGTTGTATTAATTACCAAAATTAGCTCATTAGAACTACGTTTGAATTGTTTACATAAGTCTCATTAGAGTCCTGAACATTATTTAATAAGAATTATGTTGAGAAAATGAAGAAAACTTCACCAACTGGCCGAGAAACTTTGTTCAAACAAGAGAAGCAAGAGAAAGATAAGTAGAACGGGCATGAATCATGAAAAAAAATGTTGTCTTAAAAGCATTATTTGCTCACTCTCCTTCAATTAGAGACACATTAGTAAATAGACTTGAGGGATTCTACAAACATTTATTCGGATTGCAAACGCACAAATGAAATCCAGAAAAAAGGAACAGTGAGAAACTTTCGAAAATATGAATTTGATGCTTCGGAAATTGGTATTCCGAGGTACACAGGTTTGGGAATGTTTATGATATTATTTTCTATCAATCATAATCATTAATCAATCTAGTGAATGATCGCTACAGCACGAAAGGATATGATCCTTAGACAAAAGGACACCCTTTCGACCCCATTTTATCTCCTCTCTTTTTTGTTTTTTTGTTTTTAAATCTGATCTTCCAATCCAATCCATAATTATTTGAACAACTTTCTAATAATCTCCTACTTATTCAACTATTCTTCAATGAATTCAGATTAGAAATGGCGTTTATGCATAAAATAAAGTATATTTCGATTTAAACCTTACATTAGTGTAAAAGTCGGAAAGTATTATCAAAATCCTAAGTAGTTTTAAGCTTTGAACCCGTTATTCCTTTTGACAATACGGGCAATGTCATACCCACGAATACTTTAGTTCCACATGGCACCAAATCAACGGATTTAAATAAACAGTTTCATTGGTGGGTTTGATGGTTTTTACTTAAGCCCTAACTAACACAATTATTCATAATCAGTTGTGCTACATGTATATAATGATTTACATACACATGATGTGGTGAAATGTGATTGAGTCAGGATTTTTCTTCAAACAAAAAATAAAAAATTTCACTCTTTTGACAAGGATTGATTCATCATACTCATCGTCTTATATATTGAGTTGTTTGTCTCGTGAGATTCTTTGTGCAGATATGATT